CCCTCCCCGAATTACATGCCCTCGTCTTATCAACCTCTCTCATATACTGTATGCCACATATGTTAACACAGTCAACCACCGTCCACGTCTCTATACCTACCTCCTCTCTCGCCCAACTTCATAATCTTTGATTTTTCTTTGTTAACCTGCATTCCTGTTGCCTTACCAAATACATCTACAAGTCTTCCCACAAAACTCAATTGCTCCCTCGTACGTAATAGGACAGTTGTATCATCTACATAACCTACTATGGCTGGTTGATCACTACCCGAACCCCATGACGAATCTACTCCCCGCCCACAAATTGTCCAATAAAAAGGGTCCTGCATGCAAACAAAGAGCATTTGAGACATAGGGCATCCCTGTCGAATGCCTCTATTCAATTTGACAAAGTCTCCTAACTTCCCATTAATTTGTACTTGAAACCCAGCACCATTATACAAAGAGCGAGCCCACGTGATGATCTCATTACCAAAACCCTGCCATCTCATAAACTTCCACAGCACATCCCTTTCTACACTATCAAAAGCAGCTTGCCAGTCTAAAGCCAAAACACCACCCCCGCCCCTCGTTCCGCATTCCTCGACAAACTCCCTGATATTCCCATGACCATCATACATCGACCTACCTGGCACGCCAAACTGACCCTTATGTATTACCTTGTCAAACATTTTCTTAATCCTATTCATTAAAATTTTTGCATATAATTTATAATCACTACACATTAGTGATATTGGTCGGTAATCCTTAAGTGATACGGGTATGTCACATTTTTTAACTAACACCAAAACCGCCGTACTCTGAGACAAACCTAAACGTCCCCCCTCCTTCATCGCATTGAGTAAACGTACCAGAAAAGTCCTTATGACCTCCCAATGTTGAATATAAAATTCACACGGAATGCCATCAATACCTGGCGCCTTACCCTTGCACATTCCCTGCAAAGCCTCCCACACCTCAGCTTCAGTTATAGGCCCACCCATGAGAAAGCGATCATTATCATTCAACTCACATCGTACATTCCGCCCCAATTCCCGTATTGCATCCACGCTTACATCTTTATTTAGCATTTTGAGATTAAACCATTTATCAACATAATAACTTATTCCTTCAGTTGTTATTACGACCTGACCCTCACTATACCCTTCAACGCCATCCTGCACCACTAAACTCACAATTTCAGTCGCCTTCCTCCTTTGTGTCTGACTATGTAAGACACAAGCGGACGGCTTATCACCCCACACAGCCTCCTTGACTCCACTCGAAATACGCGCCCCATCAAAAACCGTATTTTTCAGCACCTGGATGTGTTCCTTTAGATTGTCAATCTCGTCCACTGGGTAAATTTCAGATACCTCTCCTTGCGCTGTAAAGAACCCTCCAGGTACCTCAAATATCCATACTCCAATCGAGAGGCCTCCTTACCCCGATGTACATAAAAATCCTTAATTCGAGGCTTCATAACCTCGTCCCATTGTCGCACTAAATCACTACCTCCCAAGGAGTCTACTCCCATAGACGTCCTTAAGTGCGTGAAGAGTGTCCTATCTTCCGCACTTTGAAGTAAACAAGTATTTAACTTCGAATATCCTTTAAAATGAGTTGGGAGATCTCTCCAGTCGAGCTCTATGAGAACACCGCAATGGTCGGAGAAATACACGTCTAACACATGCACTTTCGTTACAACTACCCGCCGAGGCACATACACCCTGTCTAAGCGCGCAGCATAGTCCTTGCGCACGAAAGTGTGCTCAATCCCTAAGTCACTGCTTCCACTTACATCCACCAACCCCAGCCCAGACAACAAATCACCCAAAATAATCGAACAATAACCCGCTCCCCTCGGTTCTACGTCTTTACGGCGCACCACACAGTTCAGTCGCCACCAACTACTGTTATATCAGGCAGGGATCTCAAACAGTACACAAGAACATCGTTAACAAAAGTATTTTTAATATTAACATCATGTTCAGCTGGCCCATATACTCCTACAAAACCAACCCGTTGAGTACCCCACTCACCTATGACGCGTACCACGCGACCCCCTCCTTCCTCCCAATGTTTCATCACGAACGGGCTGGTCACTTTTATCAACACAGCCACACCACCTTTCAGACGACTCGAGTGAGCCATATAAACATCATAACCATCTATCGCAAACGGACTTCCAACTTTATGGTTATGTTCTTGCACGAAACATACATCTACTGCAAAGCGATGCAACCACTCATGAATCTGCACTTGCCTTCTGTTATTTTTCATACCATTAACATTTATGGTTATACACCTAACTTTGCTAACGGTGGCTTTCCTCGAGGGACCACCACACCCTTTTTCCCTTTACGTTGACTAACGCCTAAGGCGCCACCTTTACCTTGTACATTCTCTGTTATATTACTCGCTGTCCTGGAACCACACGACCCCCCACCTGTGACTTCCGACCACGTTTTCTTCCCGGAACGCTGTCCAGGGGTCAAGACATCGTCGGAGTCGGGCGGGGTAGCCGCACGTTTCCTAGAAACAGCATCCTCAGCTTTATCAGGACCTGTAATGTTCTCCTTGTGAACTTCTACCGCAACAGTATGAACTCTCGGACCTTCTACCTCACTTACGTTAATTAACTGTTCGACATCCTTTAACTGTGTTCTCTCCTCATCTGAACACTCCAACGCAGGCACACACGGCACCGAATCATACTCCTGTGACGCTAAAAGGTCACTCAATGTCGATACAATGTTAGCTTCCATGTCAGCATCCTCTCTTGCTTGAGGGCTCTCACGTCCACCATGTTCTACCACATCATGGTTGACCGTACCAGGTAGAGTCATGCAGGATGACTCCATGAGCATGGCCCGATCCACCTCATCACTCCACGATTTCAGGTGCGGTAAGTCCTCGACTACTTCATCTGCCAGAATCTGACGAGGAGCCTCACCATCTGGACGACGACCACGTCCTGAGGGCGGCTGGCACTTAACGCATTGTGCAGCAATGTGATCCAATGCGCCGCATAGGCGACACGTTCGTCTCTGTCCAGGATACGTAACATACACCTGGGTACGGAACTCCTCTAGGTTTATGTACGAAGGTATTGGTTGGCGCAGGGACATTTTCAACGTGAAAGACCCTTCTTGTAAACCAGCATAGTGGCCATCAGACCACCGACCCATAATAACCTGGTGGATCGTCCCATAGTATTTGAAGGCGTCACGTATGTCAACTTCGTTAGCCTCAAAAGGCACGTTTCGCACACATACCCACGTATAGTATTATGAAACGTCTTGCAACTTAACTGTGACTGCTGGGGTGACTTGCTTGCTAACATCCTGATGCTGGTTGACAATCTGCTCATAGGTCTTGGTATCACAAAACTTGACGAAAATCCGGGATAGTCCATTTAAGGCAACGCCACACAGGGATTCACGCTGGATGCCATACATATCGCGGATGATCATCGGCACCAACACATTAATCGATGTGCTGGGGATTGTGCCCTTTATGAGGTCAATACAAACAGTATTAACTCTCTGGCGAAAACCAGTCGCCATTTTTGTTGTCGTCACAAAGCTCCTCCACCAGGTGTCGGGACTGAGGAGAGACAGCTGACGACCGCTCAGCACAGTGTCTGAGCAGAGATTTTTTTTAATATTTGATTCTGTTGTCTAAGAGGTGTTATCCAACCTGAGGTTGACCAAAGTCAGCGTATCTAAGCTATGCTATCAGAATTGCCAATGCATCTCACCCAGCCTGACCTCTCAAGGGGGAGATTCCTTGATGCTAGTGATGGGGGTCTTGTTCCAAGGAACTGGACTTAGCCTCCCCTTCCTTGGATTGAACCTCAATACTTCCCAGGCACTGTATGGCTATGGGTTTAGGGCTTCCCTCTTATTAAACTAAAATTGCATGTATTGCCCAGGAGTGATATTTATTTCTCAAATACCCAGTGTCCCATTACAGATGCCAAGGAAGTTTGATTTGTCTTCAGTTTAGGTCTCTGAAATGCAGCCTCGAAGAATATTCAAATAAAACCCATTTTTATTTCTTTTATACTGCACAGAGATAATTTGGTTTATGTATAATAAAGCATTTTTAGACACAGTCACTAGTGTGCAAATGCGTTTTTGGCAAACCTAGGCTGTTTTCAGCTTTTAAGTTGGATTTTACTTGAATATTAGGCAAAGTTAAATCAAATATCATGTCTATATAATACTGGGATTCATGGAAACTGGTTAGTCAGACTTGAGTCCTGGAAATGGGGAGTACAATGCCTGGACTTTAAAGGAGGGGTTTGCGATATTGGCAGTTTGGAGGGACGTGTAAACTGTCATATCTGAGTGCCTCTGCAAAGATGGTGATTATGTATGAGTGGTCTACCTGGAAGGTATTCCAAGGATCAACGCCCCTGTGGACTGGTGAAAGTGATGAATGATGAAAGTTTTTTCTTTCTTTTTGGGTCACCCTGCCTCGGTGGGAAACAGTCAACATGGTAAAAAAAAAAGTACTGACAGATTTATTAAGGCAATTTCTCACCCAACAGGATTTTTTAACACACCGCTGTCTTCTGCTGAGGGATGGTGACCCAAAGAAAAAGGAGAAAAGAGATGCTTTTCTTTTTACATTTAGTAATTTATACAGAAGGGGTTACTAGCACCTTGCTGAAGGCATTTTGATTGCGTCTTACAACAAGCATGGCTTATGGAGGCAGGATTCTTCTCCATTTCCCCATGGAAAGTTTTATGGGGCAGTGGAACAGAATTCTTCCTGTGTGTCTCATAAGAGGCAACTAAAATGCTGGGAGCAAAGGGTTAGTAATCCCTTCCCCTGTATATATTACTAAATTTAAAAGAAAATTTTTGTTTTCTTTTTAGGTCATCCTGCCTTGTTGGGATACTGCCGGTGCGTTGAAGTTTTCTAATCGTATTAAATTGAAACAGTCTAGTCACATCTCTTTGAAACTTTTCTCTCATTGCCAGAATTATTAATTAATCCACTATTTTCAGATAAAAATAAATCGTAGCCAGAAGACCAAATATGTAAGACTAGCCTGGGAAGCTGCCAACGTTGACCAACAGTTTGCCGAGTCAGAGTGGAACCGAAACTTGAACAAGGACGTCCTGGTGAGAGAATTTTCGTATTTAAATGATCTTGTGAACTATCATAAAAGTAACCTTATCATAAATGGTATAATGTTATATCTAAGTACAGCATATTATGATCCTGTTAATGAAAAAATATACAAACACATCTACTACTCTAAGTATTTTTTTTTTATTATCACACTGGCCGATTCCCACCAAGGCAGGGTGGCCACCAAGGCAGGGTGGCCACCAAGGCAGGGTGGCCACCAAGGCAGGGTGGCCACCAAGGCAGGGTGGCCACCAAGGCAGGGTGGCCACCAAGGCAGGGTGGCCCACCAAGGCAGGGTGGCCCACCAAGGCAGGGTGGCCCACCAAGGCAGGGTGGCCCACCAAGGCAGGGTGGCCACCAAGGCAGGGTGGCCCACCAAGGCAGGGTGGCCCACCAAGGCAGGGTGGCCACCAAGGCAGGGTGGCCACCAAGGCAGGGTGGCCCACCAAGGCAGGGTGGCCCACCAAGGCAGGGTGGCCACCAAGGCAGGGTGGCCACCAAGGCAGGGTGGCCCACCAAGGCAGGGTGGCCACCAAGGCAGGGTGGCCCACCAAGGCAGGGTGGCCCACCAAGGCAGGGTGGCCCACCAAGGCAGGGTGGCCCACCAAGGCAGGGTGGCCCACCAAGGCAGGGTGGCCCACCAAGGCAGGGTGGCCCACCAAGGCAGGGTGGCCTGAAAAAGAAAAACTTTCACCATCATTCACTCCATCACTGTCTTGCCAGAAGGGTGCTTTACACTAATGTTGCAGTTTAAAAACTGTAGTGTAAAGCACCCTTCTGGCAAGACAGTGATGGAGTGAATGATGGTGAAAGTTTTTCTTTTTCGGGCCACCCTGCCTTGGTGGGAATAGGCCAGTGTGATAATAATAAAAAAATAAAAAATAAGTACAAATGTGTAAAGATGAAGGTAATTGCTAAAGTTGTTTGAATTTTGGGATTAAGTAGTATTGAAGGGTCTTCTATACTATATACTGTATATAAATTTTATTTCTTTCAGTATTGTTATTAACTTTCATACTTTTCGATGTATATTGAAAACCTGAGACAAATCACTTTGACTATTTTGAGTTGTCCTGGTGGATAATTTACACACATTACTACTACGTATGATAATTGTGTACCCATGTCTAAATGAACTCTCTTACTCAATCATTTCAGCGTTCCAAGATGACTGACTTTGATCGCTACAAGTTGGGCAGGGCCAAGCAGTCCAGGAACAAGATTATCAAGGATGCATATTTCCGCATCAAGAAGCAAGATCGCAAAGAAAGGAGGCAAGGCATCGCCAAGAAGCCCAAGGCCAAGGGCAAGTCCAAGTCCAAGAAAGGTGCTGCCAAGAAAACCTCCGTCAAGAAAGGCGTAGCCAAGGAAGATCCAGTCAAGGAAGATAAGGTCAAGAAAGTTAGGGCCAAGAAAGATAAGGCCCAGAAAGAGAAGGCCAAGTAAAGATTATCTGAGCAAATAAAAAAAAGATTGTTTCATTGGTTTTTTCTCTGCCTTTTTCTCACCATAGTGAATTCTAGCTTGAAAAAAACATTGTTTGGCATACAAGTGTTTATTAACTTATTAGTAGTCTAAAGGTTTATGATGTTATTAAAGTATGTTTTCTTTTTTTTCAACATAGGACAACTCCAAAAAAAAAAAAGGAAACTTTTACCATCATTCACACAATTGCTGTCTTTGCAGAGGCATGCAGATACGACAGTTCAGATGTCACTCCAAACATCAGATATCCCAAACCCCTCCTTTAAAGTGCAGGCATTGTACTTTTCACTCCAGGACTCTAGTAGCAGCCAAACGATATTCTTGAAATACCACCCCTAATGTGCACCTCTATGTATATTTTGACTCTTCAAGGGGGGCTCCTTGGCATGGTGAAGAGGCTCTTGGTCTGAGGAATTAGACCTGTCGGTCTTCTTCCTCAGACCGAACCTAATTACCCCCCAATCTCCCCTCCCCCATCCCATCCTCCCCTTTTTCCTTTCTTCCTCCTCCTCCCCACCCCTCCCTTTTGCCCTTCCTCTTTTTGGTCTTTGGCGTTTTTCCCACAGGCGTGCTAGTTCCTAGGTAGGGGAAAGGGTACTGGGGTCCATCCCATTCCGTTGGGGTTCTTGGCAGTGGCGTAGTTTGCCGTGGAATCTGGATCGCTTGGGGATGTCCCGATCCCTCTCCGGTATCCCAGAGAGTGGCTTTGGGTGTCTTTCGGGCAACGGGTGTATCTCTGGAAGCCACCTTTCGGATTCCGGGGGTGGTGGCCAAAGGAGGTATGCTTTGTGGCGGATATCCAGCCGCCCTCTCTTTTGTCCACCGAGGTAGCTCGGCAGATGTGAGGTTGCAATCCCGGATTGCTGGTTTACTGGCGTGAAGGGTAGGGTATGGCACGGGTTCCATGCTGCATCTGCGCTACTAACGGTGCTGAGGTCCTCTTGGGCGCGGAGGGAGATTTCCGGCCCTTTCATTCCTCCTGGGAACTATTCCTCCCCGCTCCCCCCTTTTTTTATTATATTTTTTTTCTTTTTATTTTTTCTTTTTTTTTCTTAAAAACAAAAAGCAAAGGAGTAACCTAACCATGGAGAACCCACTACCCCCGGGCCCCTTCTTGATACCGCACCCCATTCTGACCCTGCCTTTTTTTTTTTTTTTTGACCACTCTTCGGACACTCCTGATGCCCGTGTACCTCTTGCTGGTGCTGTTTCCTCACCTGCTTCAGGTACTGGGGCTTCGACTGACTCCTTCGATTTGTCTGACCTCCGCTCTCCTTTGACTATGCTTCCGGCCTCTCCCTCTACGGTACGGCAATTTTCGAATCGCCAGCTCGTTTCACGACGGACCAACTCCGGTCCTACTCCTAAATGCCAACGACAATCTCCTGATGATGTCCCTTCGTTACCTTCCCATTCTACTCGGAAAAGACCGACACATCATGCACTCCCTCTCCACGCTCGGTTTCAGACCACACAATGGACTAAATTCTTTACTTTAAGACCGACTTCTTCTTCTGCCTACCTTTCTGACCCTAGTATTGGCAAAGCGCTCCTGCGTCATGTTGGTAGAGATATTTCATTTCATGCTCTCAAGAGCGGTACACGCATCATCACTGTCCAGAATGCTACCCAAGCTCATGATCTTTCTCTCCTTTCGCATATCGATACTACTACTATCACTATTGAAAAACATCTTTCTCTCAATTCTTATAGTGGTACTGTCATTCTGCCCCATACCATAGTCCAACAGAATTTCCAGTCTTGTGGCAATGACATTCTTGAACAGCTGGAACTCCAGGATCTCCCAATCCTCAAAGTAGACACTTACGTCCTTCCTGCCCGTAGGCGGAGACTTTACCCTTGCAATATGGCTCGATTAACTTTCAACAGCCATGAACTCCCACCCTCTGTTTATGTCGCGGGTCATCGGTTACAAGTTCGAAAGGTGATACCTACACCGCAACAGTGTAGAAATTGCTGGTGTTTTGGTCACCCAGCAAAATATTGCAGATCTATGGCCGAATGCCCAGTCTGTGGTGCCGACGATTGCAGTCAACCTCCATTTTGCCTTAATTGTAATGAGGCTCATCCTTCGCACTCCTGCCGTTGCCAGGTCTACTTGAATGAGCGTGAAATCCGTTGCCTCGAAGAAGCAGGTCTCCCTTATGCTATGGCAGTTACTCATCTCCGCCTCCAAGGGAGACTACCCCGTGTTTCTTATTCTCGTGTTTCAAAACGTCCCCCCACTTCTGGAGTCCCGTCTTCTGCAGCCTCCTCTGTTGTTACCCCTCCCATAGCCACTCTGGCATCTAATCCTTTTGCTGTCCTTGGCTCTGACATCCCGACTACAACTCAGTCTGTTCTCACATCTTCACGTCCTTCCTCACAAGCCCCGGTATCGACAAGACCCCGTACGACACCTTCTACCAATTGCCCCTCTACTTCTCAGAAGTCCAAAAAAAACCCAGTGCTCAAATCTTCGTTGCCCCTTCCTTCCCTTCTTCCACCTCCGCACTTTACCTTTCCAGTCTCTGTACCTAGTTCTTCCCCTCTATCTGGCTCTATTACAAGTGTGGAGGTTCACCCTCCTCCTCGTACTATGCCTTCCACCCCCGTCCCCTCCCAAGTTTCTCCCTCTTCTGCCACCTCCCAGGTTTCTGCCTCTTCTGTCCTCTCCCACACTTCTCCAGTCCCCTCCACTCTTTCGTCCCCCCCTACTTTGGTACAGTCCATTACTGTCCCAATCTTTACTCACTCTCCTCCTTCTACCTCCAATATTGTCTCCCATACATCTTTGAATTCAGAAACACTTGAAGCCATTTCAGAATATATTGCAGAGACTAAACCTTCAATGGACACTGATCCACCTCCTGTTCCTTCTCTTCCCTCTCCTCCATCTCCACAACTCCACTCTTCGCTACGCTCCATTCCTTCGCTACTTGAATGCCTTCCAATGCCACCACACGTTGACTTTTCTAACCCCTCTAGTCCGTAGGTGCCCTTCCCTACGGATTCCTGGTATTTTCTTCATTGCCAATCATGGCCTATTTACAGTGGAATATCCGCGGCCTCGGGTAATCAGGGTGAGTTTCAGCTGTTGCTTTCCAGGTTTTCCCCTGTTGGTGCTTGCTTACAAGAACCAAAATTACACTCAGCTGTTTTCCAACCTCTCTCAGGCTATAATTTATTGTATTCTTCGGATCCTTTCTCAGATGGGACCTTTAATGAAAGTGCCCTTCTATGCAATGATATTCCATACTGTCAACTATTTGCCCATACCTCGCTGCATTACACTGCAGCCCGTATCCACTTGAATAAGTGGTATTCAATATGTTCTTTATATCTCTCTCCTTCTCGAGCATTTTCTATCCCAGATTTTGCTTTTCTAGTTTCATCCTTACCACCGCCACTTCTGTTACTTGGTGATTTCAACGCCCACCATTTCCTCTGGGGGGGTCTCATTGTGACTCACGTGGCATCCAGTTGGAGGCTTTTCTCGCCTCTCACCCCCTCCATGTTTTAAATACGGGTACTCCCACCCATTTTGATCCTCGTACTCGTACTCTCTCTTACATCGATCTATCAGTCTGCTCTTCCTCCACTGCACTAGACTTCACCTGGTCTGTTCTACCGGACTTACATGACAGCGATCATTTTCCAATCATTCTTACTTCTCCTTCCTATTCACCACCTTTCCGTAGCCCTCGCTGGCAATTTGATCGGGCAAATTGGGATCTTTACTCGCAACTCACTGCTTTTAGTGAGGTTCCTTCTCCATCCTCCATTGATGAGCTCCTACACCTCTTCTCGACGTCAGTTTATGCCGCAGCTTCTCATTCTATACCCCAAACCTCAGGCAGGCGTTCTCAGAAGTGCGTGCCTTGGTGGTCTCCTGCTTGTGCTCGTGCAGTATGTTTGAAACGCGCTGCATGGGGCAGGTACCGGTACAGTAGAACCGATGAGAGACTTCTTGATTTTAAGCAGAAGCATGCGATCGCTCGCCGTGTCATCCGTGATGCTAAACGCACTTGCTGGCGAGACTATGTTTCCACCATCACCTCTGCTTCCTCTATGAGTGCAGTCTGGAAAAAAAGTGAGGAAATAGAGTGGTAAATACTCTGCTGACCCGGCTCCTGTTCTATGGGTCGCTGGTGTTGATGTAGCAAACCCTCTTGACGTTGCCATTGAAATTGGCACTCATCTGGTCCGTATTTCCCGGGGGCTCTATCTATGCCCCTCGTTTCTTTCCTCAAAGTCTGCCAGAGAGTTAGTACCCTTGGACTTTTCTTCTCTCAGAGAAGAACAGTATAATGTACCTTTTACACTTCAGGAACTGGAGGCAACGCTCTCAGCTTGCCGATCATCGGCAGCTGGGCCTGACGACATTCATATTCGTATGCTACAACATTTACATCAGTCAGCCCTTGTAGTCCTCTTACACCTCTTCAATCTTATTTGGGCACAAGGAGTTCTTCCCCAGTTGTGGAAATCTGCCATTGTTCTCCCTTTCCGCAAACAGGGTACTACAGGACATGATGCCTCCCACTATCGTCCCATCGCTCTTACTAGTGCAGTTTGCAAAGTGATGGAACATCTGGTAAATCGACGTTTAATGTGGTATTTAGAGACACAACAGTCTCTCCGCTAGTCAATATGGCTTTCGTAAGGGCCGTTCTACCATAGACCCCTTACTACGCTTGGATACGTAATGCCTTTGCGAATAATCACTCGGTTATTGCCATATTTTTTGACCTTGAGAAGGCATATGACACAACTTGGAGGTATAATATTTTGGCCCAAGCCCACTCCTTAGGCCTCTGAGGCAATCTCCCATCCTTCCTTAAGAACTTTTTAACTGACAGACATTTCCGTGTTCGAGTCAATAATGTGCTCTCCCCGGACTTCATCCAAGCTGAAGGAGTCCCTCAGGGATGTGTTCTGAGCACAACACTTTTTCTCCTTGCTATAAATGATTTGGCCTCTGTTCTTCCAC